AAATTTCAACCAGTGTTACTTACTAGTACAATACAATATTTATTACTTCTTTTTCATTTATCCCAATCAAGTAATTTCTATCTGTAACTTTTGTATTATGTATTCTAGCTGTTGCAATGATTTCTTTATTTTCTTTATTTCTATTCTCCAACACTATATCATATTTAATCTCATCATCATCCAATGTATTAGAAATACCACACTTTTAAAAGACTTGATAATAATTTCTGTCAAGATGTTATTCCATACTTTTATGATTCAATAATATATTAAGTTATGCTCTGGTTTTTTCATTCTACCCTTTAGTATATTTATGTTTCCTGATATTCATCCATGTATTCTATTTCTTGCGAAGTTAGTCTTTAAAAGATTTATTGATACTTACATCAAAGGTTGTACTATAGGTATAAGTCTGCCAAAAATAACTTTCAAGACTATATTCATTTTATTATATTTGTTTTTTACAGATGTAGTGAGATGTCTTTCAAATGAATCAAAAACTAATAATGATCTCTTTTGCTTTCTAGATCTTTGTTCCCAAACTGATTCTAACCAGTCTATCATCAACTCTTTGTCTATTCAAGTATTTTCATGCATTCTAACAACTACTTCAGGAGGATAATGTTTATTAGGGACCCTTTTTTCTTTGAATATAACCATTGAAGGCAGTTTCGATCTATCTGCCAGTACATCCAAGACACAAGTAAATCAGTTTTTATTATTTTCTATTATACATATAGGTACTGACCGAGTATCACAATTATCAAGCATAAGAGCACCTACTATATCAAAATTAATAGAGGTTTTGTCTATGTTTGTAATACAATTAAGGTCAAAGTTATTGTTTTTATGCAAATTATTAATAAATTTATGAATGCAGTAACTTTTTTATCTAAATCTTTGGGAAGTTTCTGAGAAGTCTTGGTATATCTTCGAAGAGAAAAGTCAAACCGATTCATAAAATAGTCGAGCTATCAATCTGAGGCTTTAAAGTTATGGATAGTATCAGAGTATAAAAGTCTAAACTCCTGAGTAAGTAAACTAGTTATACAATATTTAGCATTATTGAGTGTAACTGCTATTCCTTTTAGATGATGATTCATTATTCACTTTTTTAATGATTTTTTAGCAAGTAGATATAATAATGAAGAACCAGAGCCCACTCTGCAGCTTGTCTTTCTTGCACTTTTTTTTGTCTCTTTTTTTTCACTTACTGACTTGCATATAGTTAATATTAAACTTTTGTGCTACAGCATGATTATTCATCTTTTTGGCATAATTAATTGATTCAAGTTTTAAATTTGCAGAGTAATTTTTATATTTTTCTTTCATTTTAACGAAATGCAAGTAAGAAAAGTAACTAATTTCTTATTTAAAATAACCAAAAAAAAATATTATTTATTCACACTCCAATTCATACAATATAATACGATCAAAAAGTATTATAATATTGCTTGAAGGCGTATCAAGAAATATTAAAAATCAGTCAAGTATTCAATTACTTTAAAATTACTAGTATTATTATTTTTTATTTTATTTATTTATTTTTTTACTTATATCTCATTATTATTATTATTAGGATGAACATATTTTGAATAATGATTAATTTTAGAAAAATCTTAAAATAAAATATTGCGCAACAGGATAATTTATTCTGAAAACAATGATAATCTATATGCGTGAATTTGTAGAATTGGGCCTCTAATGATCTGCAAAATATTACATGCTAATTGGGCATAAATAAAAATTGTACCCCAAATCACATGTCAAATTTGTTGACTCACCTAAGTAGAAAATTAAAACTTACAGCAAACCAATGAACCAACCTTGAAACCAATAAAAGTAATGAGAAAAAATATAACCTAGCAAAAGATAACAAAAGCCATGTATAGCTTCTTTTGCTTAAATAGTTTATACTGTATATTTTTGTTTGCACATTTTTAGACCTAGCTAACTTTAAATTATTCATATACATTTCGATTTAGGCAGTATATAAGTAAAGATCTAAGTGACCGAGTCTTATAGTTTTAATTTAGATAGTACTGGTACGTATGTATATGTATTTTTAAAGATCTTATAAGCCAAGTTTCAAATTTAGATAGTATATATACATTCGTGTATTCTGGGATCTGGCTACTCTTTATTTTAAATATATACAAATTTTTATGCAATATTTTCTAATACTTATTTGTATAATTTTAGAAATCTGGTAAACGAATAGTTAGTATATAAGTGGTATTTAAATTTTTGATTACAATTAGGGTTCTGTAAGTGCCAGGTATGGTGTTAAAAAAACATGTACTTGCATGCTAAGCACTATAGTTTTTTAGCACCATGCCTGGTATTTGCAGAATCTTAATTACAATCCAATTTCAAATTCTTTAGCGTCTGCTAACAGAAGAGAATATACCTGATCCAAAGTGAATCCTATACATAGAATGATCAATTAAGACTAAAATTATTTATATTAGTTTTAATTGATCACACCATATATAAGATTCACTTTGGATTAGGTACATTTTCTCCTGTTGCATCTGCTTCATTTACATTAGCTATATTTGTTAGAAATAGTTGGATTTATATTTGTATAATCAATTAGTATTAATATACAAGTTATCTTTCACTTTGTTTAGCTTCTATAATAAGAGATTATTTGCTATCTCGATTCTAATTAATAAAAAAAAAGTGTAAAATCAGAATATTTATATGATAGCATGCGTGATTATGATTACTTTACTACAAAGCCAATGATTTTTTGTGATGATATTTATTTTTAAAAATAAATATCACTACAGAAAATCATTAGCTCTATCTTCTACTTGGCACGTTACTGAAAATATAAAGCCAAATCTCTTTTCATCAATCTTTTTGAACGTTATCTAATCTATTAAAAGGAATCTGCTCAATTATATCTTTATAAGACGTGAAAAATTTTTTAATACAATCGTCACATTCTTATTTTCACTTGTCTATCCTTGTAATATTTTTCGCGATCTACAGGTGTTATAACAATGATCCGAATTAATAGAATTATTCTATTATTCTAAATTTGATTGAAAAAAAAAACAACTTATTTTTACTTTAATTGTCAGAAAAAAACTAACTGGCAAAAATATAAGTCAAAGAGCTATAATATTATTACAAAATAAGTATAACGATAAATACGTAGTCACAGTAAATTTAAATTTGCGTATATGATTTAATTGGTTAATCTTGGTGTCAAATTACTGACATACTATTATATCAAATTTAGGTGCGTCAAAAATTTTAGGGTGTTCTACAAATCCGCACATATGCTACTATAGAAATAGCAGTAGTAATAAATGATTAAAGGTACTACCTTATACTCTCAATTACTTCACCCTTCATTATTATAATGATCTACAAACTTCCTCAGTATTATTAAGATAAAAAATAAGTACCTGAATTGCATAATCTCAAATATTAGTAGTTTATTAGCATTTTATATATTCTACTGTAGTATTATTGATTTAACCCAGTTTAATCCAGACTAAGCTGCAAGAATTACAAGTTGGATCGATAGATTAGATATTATACCATTAGATAATACTGTAATAGGAAAAATTTATTTATAGTTCAAGGGAGTTAAGATCAAAAATTTTTTCAATATATCTTAACTTTAATCAAGCTGTAGTTATTATTATTGAAATAAGAAAACAGTTTTATCAAATAAAGAACTTCAAAATATAAAGCTAGTTTTGTAAGTTATAAATTCTAAAAATTTAATATATTTATTGTTTATCTGTATTTGAAAAGAAGATTTATTTTTAAAAATCATTTTGAGATTGGGTAACCACATAATTAAATATAATTTATAGCAAGATTAAATGAAAATAATTCTTATATTTGATCTCAATATATATGTTATAAGTCATATTGGTTTTTGGATTAAGTTAAACTTGATCTAGTTAAATTGATCAAGTTAAATAATATGATTAGTTACTAATAGTAATATATATTAGCAAATTTATATATACAAAATTTTTCAAAAAAATTTGCATTATAAAAAAATAATAATAAATTTTGAAAAAATTTTCAAAAATTTTGCAAAATATTTCAAAATATTTCAAAATTATTTTCAAAAAATTTTATTCAAAATTATTTTGCAATATTGTAAAATTTAGAATATTAAATTTTAATACCCAGTAAATATTACAGAAAATTCAGTTGTTGG